TAGGAAGGAAGGAAGGAAGGAAGGAAGGAAGGAAGGAAATTTTTGCCAACCACAATTGCAAACTCAAATTTCCTGCTCTGGAAACCTCCATACATTTGTAAAAATGGCATAAAAAGATCCTCACTTTTGCAGGCAGGGCACGGGGATGTGAAAGTACAAAAGTATTCTTGTCTCAGGGAGACATCTTTTTTCCAGTGTCTTGTTAGCCTCAGTATATTGTATGCAAAAAAGAAAAAAATGGCCCCCATGGCTTTAACATATTGCCTCCCCCAGGTCCTCATCTCAAGCTGTTCCCGATGCCGAACCTGCGACTGCCTGGTTCATGACGAAGAGATCATGGCAGGCTGGACTGCAGATGACTCCAACCTTAATACCACCTGTCCATTCTGTGGAAATCTGTTCTTGCCTTTCCTGAATATTGAAATCAGAGATCTCCGGGGACCCGGAAGGTACTTGTTTACTGATCCTTTCGATTTTTATTTGCAATATTTCCCATTCACAACAATTGTATAATCACATGAACTTTTTGTAGATACTTCCTGAAGTCCAGTCCTTCTTCAGAAAATATACAGATTCCATCCTCTTTTATGAACCAGAGAGGCAAAACGTGCATTGCTGATCCCCTTGCAGGATTTACTACAACTTTAGTACCAGCTCAGAATGACTTGGTTTCAGAAAGGTACATTTATTTCATGGGTTTTTAAATGTATCATTGCATTTATAACCTTCTTTTCCTCCAGGAGTTCAAAATAAACTCTCCTCTTATTTTAGCCCCACACCAAAAACTCGCTGAGGTTGACTGGATTGAGGGAAGTGACTTGGCAAGTTCACTGAGTGAACTCTACACCAAGTGCAACATATTGACTGGGTTCACACAATATATTAGACTCAACTAAAATGGGATTGGTTTATTGCTTTGGGCATAGCAAATCATGTGAACACAGCACTTAAGGCCTGTAGTTATGTTGGGGGGAAAAGGCTGGGTTTTCCTATAGGTATCTGTGATAAAACCACAGTAAAATTGACATGATACCAACAGAAGAGAATATCTGTAGCTCAGGGTTGAACTGTGGAGTCCTTGGGGTTCTCTGAGCTTGGTTATTTTCTTGCAAACGTTTCATTACCCGGCTAGGTAACATCTTCAGTGCTAAGGGAATGGGGTTTGCTCTCTGTTTATATACAGTGGTATGCCCTGCCAGTGTTGGTGGGGGTGGGGTTTTTGTTTTATTTATTTTTTCCCCCTCTGGTAGTTCCTTGATTAGGGTATTGTTTACTGCTGATTGTATGTCTGGTGTTAATCTTGGTGTTAATCTCTGCTTATCTGTGTGATGACTGCTGATGAGGAGATGTTCTGGTCTTTTGTTTTCCTTTCTATTGTCTCTTTTGAATAGTCTGTAGTTGTTGTTTATCTCTATGTGCCTGTTGATGGCTGCCTTGTCTGAACACCAAGCTTCCAGGAA